ATGTGAGCTCAGATTGCTATATACTTTCCTTTTAGTATAGCTCTTGCTGCATCCCATATGTTTTGATACATTGTGTCTTTGTTTTCATTCATCTCCAGGTATATTTTAATTTATTCTTTGTTCACCTTGTTTATCCAGTGGGCATTGAGAAGTGTGTTGTTCATATATTAGAGGTATTTCCGTTTTATTTTTGTGGTCGATTTCCAGCTGATACCATTGTGATCAGAGAAGATACTTGATATGATTTCAGTCTTCATGAATTTTGGGTTATTGTTTTGTAACCCAGCTTGTGGTCTATCCTGGAGAATGTTCTTGTGCACTTAAGATTGTATATTCAAGGTCTCCCCTGGTCACGCAGTGGTTGAGCACTGGGCTGCAAAGCTGCCCGCAGCCTCTGCAGCACCGGTTCGATCCCCGGCCGCTGGCGAGGGTCCCACATGGCAAGGGTCCCATATGGCGCGACAGACCTCTCCTGCCACATCTGCTGCTCCCCTGAGCAGTGTGTTTTGTCAATCTACCTCTTCTGTTCCCCGCTCTGGCTCTGGTGAATTCTCTCACCCTCCCGCGCTTCTGACTGTACCCAGTGCTTGTACAAATAAAACTTTATTTTTTTTTTAAAGTGACCAGGAGTTTTTTTTTTTTTTTTTTTAAGATTTATTTATTTATTTATACAAGCACTGGGTACAGTCAGAAGTGCGGCAGGGTGAGAGAATTCACTGGAGCCAAGGTGGGGAGCAGAACAGGCAGACTGATGAAATACACTGCTGAGGGGAGCAGCGGGCGGCAGGAGAGGTCTGCGCACCATGTGGGACCCTCCTCTGGTGGCCGGGAACAGCCGGGGATCGAACCGGTGCTGCAGAGGCTGCGGGCAGCTTCGCAGCCCAGCGCTCAACCGCTGCACCACCGGGGAGGCCCTAAATAAATCTTTAAAATAATAATAATAAAGTAAATATCCTGGAGACAACAGAAATATGGGTTTTGTGTTTTGATCCAGTTGACCACTCTATTCCCTTTGATTGATGAATTCAGCCTGTTTATATTTAATAGTTATTATTGATATATGATGGTTTGTTATTGCCATTTTGTTTCTAGTTTTCTGGTTCCACCTAGTTCCTTGTTCATTTTGTTGTGATATTTCCTCCCTTTATACAGGCGGGAGATCCCCTTTAAGACTTTGTCATATGGTGTTGGCAAGAGCCCTCAGTTTCTGTTTGTCTGAGAAGGCCTTTATTTCTTCCTTGTATCTGATGAAATGTCTTGCAGGATATAGTATTCTTGGCTAGGCAATTTTTCTTACTGAGTATTTTGAACATTGTTACATTCTCTCCTTTCCCATAGGGTTTTCTCCCAGCAGTCTTATGTCAGTCTTATGGTTTTCCTTTATAGCCACCTTCAGTATTCTTTGTCTTGAATTCGTTATAGTTTCTTTCTTTTTATAAACAAATATTTATTTATTTATTTGTTTATGCATAGAAGAACAGGAGTGTAGGCCAGAGGTACAAGGGTAGGTGGGGGGAAGTGAGAGGATTCATCAGAGACAAAGTGGGGAGCAGAACAGGCAGATTTTACTGAAACACACTGCTAAGGGGAGCAGCGGGCTAGACAGGAGAGGTCTGTTGCAACGTATGTGAGTTAACTGAAACTTAACCCCTAGGCCTCCAGGGAGGCCCGATTTCTTTGTAGTTTCATGACTATGTGTGTCTATGTAGATCTCATTGCATTTTGATAACCTATTGTGTCGGGCAACACCACACTGAAAAAGACACGGGAGTCGTGGAACAGGCTGCACAAGGCAGGATGCTGCTGAGAGCAAGATCCTGGCCGTTTTTACTGCTAGAATAATCATAGAGCATCAGCTACATGCATTAGGAGGACAAAGAGAAAAGGATGGGTGAAACTCAGGAATGTTATCTAGGGCTTGGGGGACAGGAGTCTGCTGACCATGTTATTAGCTTGATGACCAAGTGTTGTCATCAAAACTAGACCCCAGACCCCCAGCCATGGTCCTAATCTTATCAACAAGGCATTCCACTGATCAGCTTCTGGGGTCCCTTGTGATACATAGGTCCTCAGTCCCCCGGGCGTTCCTGGTCATACCTCATGATGTATGTATGAGTCGTGGGTAAGTTTATGCATCCATCCTCAGCTGCCCAGGATGTTCCCGATCATACCTCTTGATGCATACCCTTCCCAGAGTGATCAAGCTTTCTGCTCTTGATTAATATGAAAGGTACCTTGTAAGGTTTGGCTCATATGTCTGTGGCTGGACAGTTCTGATCTTTGTATAGGAATGCAGAACTGCAGGTAACCACAATGGTGGCTGAACAGGCCGCTTAAGTCTAGGAAACCCACAATAACCAGGTGTTCTTTTATCTTTACTAAATTTTATATTTATTTTCTTCCTCAGATTTGGGAAATTTTCCCCTATTATTTTAAAAATAAATTCTATGTTCCCTTCTCTCTTCTCTTTCCCTTCTAGCATACCTATTATCCTATGTTGTTTTTCCTAATGGAATTGGATATGTCTCAGAAAGTTTCTGCATTGTTTTTTCTTTGTGTTTCTCTTTTTTTAATCCTCCTGAATCCTTTGTGCATTTTGACCTTCAATTTCAATAGTTCATTCCTCCATTTGGTCTAATCTGCTTCCTTAGCTTTCTGTAGAAATTTTAAGGTCCTCTATTGATCTTTTTCCATCCTGCAACTCCTATATTTTCTTATTTAAATCTTATGTTTCTATTTTCTGTCCAGTAACTATATTTCTCAAGTCATTATTTTTTTTTTACTTTTGCTGCATTTTCTTTCATTTGTTTAAATTTCTTTCTCATGAAAAATTTTGAACTCTATTAGAAGGATAAAACCTTCCATATCTTTCTGGTTAGGTTCTGGCAGTTATTTCTTCCTTATGATGAAATGTTCCTTTGGGGTCTCCAGTTGCTCTGTGTATGTGTTTACCTGCCCATATTGCTGTATCAGATCTTCTCCCTTAGAATTTGGCACTCTCAAGCAGTAGCAAATTGGAAGCCTCGGGATGTTGGGGGAGAGGCTATTAACACTCCTGACACTCTACCCTGGCTATCAGCACCCAGGAAACCCTTTGTTCATAGGCCCTGTTCCCTGTGGTTACCTGTAGAAACATGTTCTTGGAAGAGGGAAGAATAGTTGTGTCCTCACTCTTCTGAAGCCTGATGACCAGAAACCCCCCTGAAAAGTTTATGAGGGCAATATAGCTGCTCTTTCCCCTAACCTAGGGCTAGCCAACTTGCTTGTGCACCATTTGTGTGCACAGTCCAGAGCTTGTGAGCAATCTAGGAGGGAAAGTGGTGGGTATGTTCCCAGTCTCTGGGAAGGTCCTTGTCTAGAAGCCTCTTGTGGGAATGTATATGACCCAAAACAAGCCACCAAGCCAATCAAGTTCACTGTGGCCTCCTGAAGCCTCTCTGTAAGTACAGACTTGAGGTTGCATGGGTGGGAAGAGGTATAGGTGAGTACCTTCCTGGGCTCTCCAGAGTCATTACAGACACTCCTGGGAGCGCAGAGACCATGCTGAGGATGATCATGTGGCTTTCTCCACTGCTGAACTCAATCTTTGATCACCAGGGTGACCATGTTGAACTGTGGAATAGGCTATGCTTGCACAGTGAATTATACTCTTTCCTAAGCGGGTGGGAGAGCCTGCGAGACTATTGAGGGAAGGACTGAAAGTCCTTCCAGTTAACTGGAACCATTCCTGACTTACAGTTTCTCAGTCTTTCTTTCCCTTTCCTGTGATTTCTGGATCTCCTTGCTGGCACACTGATTCTCACTTTCCCAGCTCTGTTCTACATGTGGCCACTCCCGCTGGGCACTTATCCTCATATTGCTGAGGAGAGTGAATACTCAAGTATCCTGTCTGTCTGCATTTTCCCAGAGTCCCCTCTATAGTGTTTTTCAAGTCTTATGTTTCATTTTTTATCTTTCTGGTTATTGTTATTCAGAGTCAGATTTTGAAGTCTTCAGCTATTAATTTTAAGTGTTTATCTTCTTTATCATTTCTGTCATTTTTTGCTTCATGTATTTTGGTAGTCTGTTATGTGCATGCATTTATAATTGTGTATCTTCCTCATGGATTGATCTTTTCATTATTATCAAATATCTTTTCATCCCTAATTATATGTTTTTTGTATTTTTAAATCTGTTTTCTCAAATATCATTATTTGCATGCCAACTTTCTTGTTCTTGCATGTTACCATGATACATCGTTTCCTATTCTTTCCCTTCCAGTCTGTGTGTATCTGAATTTAAATTTTATATCCTGTAGGCTACATGTAGCTGGACCATTTTTGTTTATATAGTCTGATAATTTCTACCTTTGGTTAGATTCTTTTATTCCACTCATTCAGTGATATTGATATAAATGAATATGTGTCTGCAGTTTAACCTCTTTGATTTCAATATGTCTGTTTTTGTTTTTGTTTCTTCTCTATTGTGTCCTTTTGCATTAAGTTAATATTTTCTAAAGTGTCATTTTATTTTCTTTAATGATATTTTCCTGATCTCTTTTGAGACTTTTTTTAGTGTTTCTCTTGGACTTACCACATACATTTTAACTTATCAGAATCAGGTTTAGGTTTATGCTAATTTAATTGCAGTGACATACAGACTTTTTTTTTTTCTCTTTCTTTTTTTTTTTTTTTTTAAGATTTATTTATTTATTTATACAAGCACTGGGTACAGTCAGAAGCACGGGAAGGTGAGAGAATTCACCAGAGCCAGAGCGGGGAGCAGAACAGGCAGAAGGACCGAAGTACACTGCTGAGGGGAGCAGCGGGCGGCAGGAGAGGTCTGCGCGCCATGTGGGACCCTCCTCTGGTGGCCGGGGAGCAGCCGGGGATTGAACCGGCGCTGCAGAGGCTGCGGGCAGCTTCGCAACCCAGCGCTCAACCGCTGCGCCACCGGGGAGGCCCAGACTTTTTTTTTTTTTTTTTTTTTTTAACTGTAGTTTGCTTTGTTTTGTTTTGCAGATACTGCATTCTTTGTAAGACCTTCTACCACCAAAAAGATGATTACTTGCTGAAGACCCAGGTGACAGTAGAACTTTTTTAGCAATAAACTTATTTTCAAATTAAGGTATGTACATTGTTTATTTAGTCATAATGCTATTATAGACTGAATAGACTATACTGTAGTGTAAACATAATCCTTTTTTTAAAGATTTTATTTATTTATTTATACAAGAATCGGGGTACAGGCCAGATGTGTGGGAGGGTGAGAGGATTCAGACAGAGCGGGGAACAGAACAGGCAGACTGACAAAATACACTGCTGAGGGGAGCAGCAGGCATGACAGGAGAGGTTTGCCGCACCATGTGGGACCCTCGCTGGCTGGCTGGCATCGAACCAGCGCGGACAGCTTCACAGTGCTGCGCTCAACTGCCTACGCCATCAGGGGTGGCCCGTAAACATAATCTTTTATATGTACTAGAAAAGCAAAAAAATTGTACTTTATGGCAATGTTTTATTGCTGTGGTTTATAACTGAACCACAATATTTCCAAGATGTGCCTATATATTGGGTTGTTGGAAAAGTCATGACATATTTTTCCTGTTTTTCAAGCAAAAATGCATCATGACTTTTCTGGCAACCCAATAGAATCATTAGTCCTATATATCTCTATGCACTTCTGCACCCTTTTGTGGTATTATTGTTACACATATTGCATATTTTAGTGTTAGAAATCCAACAATAAATTGTTATTTTTACAAAACTAGCAACATGTTGCTATAGGTGTTACTTTACTATATATATTTATTTCTATAGCCCAGTCACATATCTCATTTACACTGGTATTGGAGAATATATCACACATACATTGCATTTCTGTTCATTTTTGACTCTAACATATAAACTATCATATATATGTAGCAGTACTTTTTTATTTCTTTAATGTTGTTTTACAACACTTAATACAATTTAGGGAAATGGATTCCCACCTCTTCAGATGTATGTTATACCCCACCATACAAATATCCATTCTTCTTTACCCTAGACCATTGGGGTCCCTACCATCCTGTATTCACACCCTTATATCCCACCTCCCATGTTAATAGACTCAGTACTGCAATCATATTTCTAGGGTTTATTTGGCTCAGTTTTGTTAGTTACTTTGATTTTTCCCTCTATTCCACTCCTTAGTGAAATTACCTGTTATTTGTCTCTCAGCTTCTGACTCATTTTACTGAGTATACTATCACCTCCAGTTCAATTCATGTTGTCACAAATGGCAAAAGCTCATATTTTTTTAATAGCTGAGTATTATTCCATTGTATATATATACCACATCTTCTTAATTTGCTACATTCAGGTTGTTTCCATAACTTAGCTATTGGAATTAGTTCTGCAGTGCACATAGGAGTATATATTTTCCTTTGATTTAGTGATTTTTTTATTCATTGGGTAGGTACCTAGAAGTGTAATGCTAGATCATATGGTATATCTGTTTTTCATTATTTTTAGGAAACTTCATCCTGTTTTCTATAGGGGCTTGACTAGTTTAATTCCAACCCACAGTGTACAAGGGTACCTATTATTCCACACCTTCACCAGCATTTATTGTTTCTGGCTTTTTTGATATGGCCATTCTCATGGGAATGAGATGTTATCTCACTGTAGCTTTGATGTGTATTTCCCTGTTGATAAGTGATGTTGAACATTTTTTCATGTGTGTGTTGGTCATCTGTGTGTCTTCTTTGAGGAAGTGTCTTTTCTGTCTGTTTTGTGATTGAGTTACTGGTTTCCTTTTTGTTGAGTCATAAGTGTTCTTTAAGAATTTGAATATATTGGGCCTCCCCTGGTGTGCAGCGGTTGAGTGCTGGGCTGTGACGTTGCCTGCAGCCTCTGCAGTGCCGGTTCAATCCCTGTCTACCAGTGAGGGTCCCACATGGTGCGCAGACCTCTCCTGTCTCGCCCACTGCTCCCCTCAGCTGTGTATTTCGTTAGTCTGCCTGTTCTGCTCCCGGCTCTGGCTCTGGTGAATGCTCTTACCCTCCCACACTTCTGACTGTACCCAGTGCTTGTATAAATAAATAAATACGTAATTCTTTAAAAAAAAAAGAATTTGGGCCTCCCTTGGTGGCGCAGCGGTTGAGCACTGGGTTGTGAGGCTGCCAGCAGCCTCTGCAGCGCCAGTTCAATCCCCGGCCACCGGCGAAGGTCCCACCAAAAAAAAAAAAAAAAAGTGGATATTAAGACCTTATCACATGTATGATGTGCAAATATTTTCTCCCATTCAGTAAGATTTTTTTAAAAGATATATTTTTATTTATTTATGCATACAATAACTGGGGTATAGGTCCAGAGGTGCAAGGAGTAAGAAGATTCACCAGAGACAGAGTGGGAAGCAGAACAGGCAGATCTACTGAAATATACTGCTGAGTAGCGGGCAAGACAGAAGATGTCTGCTGCACCATGTGGGTTAGCTCTCTGACTGGGGATCAAACTCATGCTGTAGGGGCTGCTGATAGCTTGATAGCGCTGAAACTTTAACCTATGCACCATCAGGGAGGCCCATTTTTTTTTTGTTTGTTTTAATGATAGTTTCTTTCACTATACAGAAACTTTTTAACTTTATACAGTCCCATTTATTCATTTTTGCTTTTGTTTTCCTTACTGTTAGAATTGATTTCCCAAGGACATCACTGAAGCCAGTGTCATGGAGTGTTTTGCCTTTGTTTTCTTCTACGTGTTATATAGATTTTAGTATTACATCCAAGTTTATTTTGAATTAATTTTTGTGTGCAGTATGAGAGAGTGATCTATTTACAGTTTTCTGCATGTACCTGTCCAGTTTTCCCAGCACCATTTTTTGAAAAGATTTTCCTTTCTCCACTGTATACACTTGACTTCTTTTTTATAACCTAACTGTGCATGTAATTGTGGGCTTATTTCTGGACTCTCAGTTCTATTCCAGTGTGATACCACCATAATGTTCTTATTACATATTTTTATTTTATGTAGTGTAGTTTGATGTCTGTTAATGTGACTTCTTTTTTTTGTCAAGATTGCTTTGACTATTTGGAGTCATTTTTCATTTCATAAACATTTCAGCAATGTTGCTTATTTCTTTTGGATAATTCCATTGAAATTTTGATAGGGAACTAATTGAATCTATATATTGCTTTGAATATAATGTACATTTTAACAATGTTAACTCTTCTAATCTATGAACATAGAGTATTTTTCCATTTCCTTGTGTCTTCTATTTCTGATGACAATGTCTTTGAGTTTTCATTGAACAGCAATTTTGTTGTCTATGTTTAAGTTTATTCCTCAGTATTTAAATTTTTTTGATGCTAGTATGAATGGGGTTGTTTTCTTGATTTCTTTCTCTTCTAGTAAAGTATTTGCATATAGGAATGCAATAGATTTTTGTATGTTGATTTTATAGTCATCCCTTTACTTATTTATTGTTTCTAATAATTTTTTAGTAGCATCTTTAGAGTTTTCTGTGTTATGTCATCTGTAAATTGTGATGGTTTCACTTCTTTTCCAGTTAATTTCATTTATATCATTCTCTTGCCTAATTGCTTTAGCTAGGACTTCCAGTACTATGTTAAAGAGTAATGGTGAGAATGGACATCCTTATCATGTACCTGATATTTGAGGAAAAGCTTTCATTTTGTTATCATTTAGTATGATTCTGGCTGTTGACTTTGCCTTTATCATATTGAGTGATATTCCTTTTATCCACATTTTACAAAAAGCTTTCATGGTAAATGTATGCTGAATCTTGTCAAATGTCTTCTTTGCATCTCTTGATATGATAATATGAATTTTGTCTTTTGTTGATATGGCGAATTACATTGATTGATTTGTGTATGTTGAACCATCCTTGCATCCCTGGAATAAATCTCACTTGATCATGATATTTGAACCTTTTATTGTTGAATTCATTTTGCTAAGATTTGTATCTATGTTCATCAGGGATATTAATTTCCAGTTTTCTTTTTTGTTATGTCCTTTCTGCTTTGGGTATCAGAGTAATAATGGCCTCATAAAATGTGTTTGGGAACATTCTTTTTTTGGAGGGGGCAAGTTTGAGAACAATAAGTATTAATTCCTCCTTGAAGGTTTGGTAGAACTCACTGGTAAATCCATATGGCCCTCTGCTTTTGTTTTTTGGGAGACTTTTAATTGTTTCAATTTCCTTTCTTGTAATTGGCCTGTTCAAGTTCTCTATTTCTTCTGGATTTAGTTTTAAAAGTGTATATATTTTACTTAGAATTTGTTCATTTTTTCTGATTTTCCAATGTGTTGGCATAAAGGCATTCATGGTAATCTCTTACTATCATCTTTATTCCTGTGATGCCTGGATTAACTTCTCTTTCATTTCTGATTCTATTTATTAAAATTTCCTCCCTTTTGTCATAATGTGTCAAGCACAAGGTTTATCTATTTTATTTATGTTTTCAAAGAATAAGCTTTTGGTTTCATTGATATTTTGAACATTTTGATTTCTATGTTATTCATTTCCACTTTAGTTTTCATTTTTTTCCCTTTCTTTTGACTTCTGGTTTCATTTGTTCTTTTTCTAGTTCCTTCAGGTATAATTTGAGATTATTTTTTTAAGCTCTTTCTTAATGTGAGTCTGTATTGTTATATACATCCTCCTTTTGCCCTGTCCCATGAGTTCTGGTAGGTTGTGTCTTCATTTTCATTTACCTCCAGGTATTTTTAAATTTCTTCTTTGATTTTCTCATAATTCAATCATCATTCAATAGTGTGTTTTTCAGTTTCCATATATTTGAGGTTTTACCTGTTTTCTTTTGTGATTGATGTCTACCTTAATGCCATTATGATCAGAGAAGATACTTGATATTATTTTAATCTTTATAAATTTACTTACACTTGTTTTGTGTCCCAATATGTGGCCTATCTTGGAAAATGTTCCATTTGTACTTGAGAAGAATGTATATTTAGCTTTTGGAGGATATAGTGCCCTATAAATATATAGTTTCCCCATCTAATCTATTTTCTCATTAAATCTGTTGTTTCCTTTCTTTATTTTCTGTCTGGTTAACCTGTGCATTGATAAAGTGGGGTGCTGAAGTCCCTTATCTCTATTGTGTTGTA